AAAAAAAAAAAAAAAATTGATAGAAAAATAATAAAACACATTTTGGACTCATTTGGACATGGCCCCACTTTTCCCTTTCATTCTTTTTGCTCTAGTTAGATTAGATAGATTAATCTTTTTTTCAATTCTAATTTTTTTCCCGAAATACTTTTACAAGACATTTTTAAGTTTTAACGAGCGATAAAAATTATATAATATTATTTTTTTTGAATTTGATTGAGTCTTATCAAGTCGAGTTCGATTAGTTAAGAAAACAAGTTCGAACATGGCTCATTAAGCTCAACGAGACGAACCCACAAATTGCTAAGTAGTTTAATTAACAGTTATAGACATAAATCATTTTGAGAAACTCGTTTTCTTAAATTATATGTAGCAAGCTGATGACTACTTGATTGAGTCATTAATAACTTGATGTACTGACATTTATTAAAAATATATTTATTTTAAGACACGTGTCAATAGGTAATTTATAAATAATTGTGAATGATTAAATAAATCGTGTCATCCAAAACTCCACCGCAAAATGAAGACACATTTCTATAGCTCTCGCAGGTAGGGTATGTTTGGTAAGCCAAATAAGCTAGCTTTTAGCTTATTTGGTTAGCTTATAAGCTCCCTGTTTAAAATAAGCCTCGTTTGGTAGGACGAGCTTTTTTAAAAAGCTTGAGCTTATTTCATAAGCTACTTTAGGTAGCTTTTCAAATAAGCTAGTTGATTTTTTTTATTTCAGCTAGCTTATCAGCTAATTTACCAAACACCTTTTATCATATAAGCTAGCTTTTCAGCTATAAGTCATAAGTTATAAGCTATAAGCTCAAAAATTACATATAAGCTATAAGCTAGCTTATCAGCTATCAGCTAGCTTATCAGCTAATTTTACCAAACATAGCCGTACTTTAAATAGAAACAGTATCCAAAGGTTTTAAAGCAAAAAAAGTTATAACACGTTGTGTTACACATGTGTTTTAGTTAAAAAAATGTGTATTTAAATAGAAATAGAAGCTTTATTATAAAATTTCAGTTACTTAAAAAAAAATCAGATTGTTGTTTTTAATTAAAATGAGACCCAACATTAGATTCACTCGTATCATAGAGATTTATTTTAATAAACAATTTCATATAAACAAATAAGCTTCTAACCCAAATTGAATAAATTTATTTTAACAGATACATGATAATTTTATTATAAACAAATAATTTATATTTATAAAATTAACTATTATATTTTACATATATTATATAAATATTAAACTCAAGTTTATAAAAATATGATTAAATATATATATTTTTTGCTAGGAAGAGGTTGTTAAATAAAATTATGAACATTTTAGTCTATGGTGTGACACTCACATTCCATAAATTTTGAAATAATGAAAAGAAAACTATTTTCCAGCTCTTTTGCATATTTATTAGTTATTACCCTCTCTCTCTCTCTCTCTCTCTCTCTCTCTCTCCCTTTAATACATTTTACTCACATTAATTTACCTCTTTGAATTCCCCTTTTGTTTCTCTCTCACGCACATTTCCGACTGAAAACACACACACGCACACGCACACGCACGCCGGAGATGATACCGTCGCCGTAGCTCCTTTTAACATGAGCGGGGGGCGCACCGCACCAACACACCTCCGAATGTTATGAGTAACCTCACATCCACCGACCCAACAGCCCCGCCGCCCCAGCCGCCGCGGCCCTCCACCTCCGGCTGCGACCGCCACCCGGACGAGCAGTTCACCGGCTTCTGCCCCTCCTGCCTCGTCGAGCGCCTCAGCACCCTCGACACATCCTCCATCACCCCCTCCTCCTCCCACCGCCCCTCTTCCGCCGCCGCCGCTGCATCCGCCTTCAAGTCCCTCTTCACCTCCACCTCCAGGGCAACCAACTTCGCCGCTCCTCCGCCGCCGCCGCCGAAGCCCTTGAAGCCCGCTTCATTCCTTCCCGAGCTCCGCCGCTCCAAGTCCTTCTCCGCCTCCAAAAACGAGGCCCTAGGTCAGTCCCTCGAGCCCCACCGTAAATCCTGCGACGTTAGGGCTAAAAACACTCTCTGGTCACTGTTTTCTCTCGACGACGAGAGTAAACCTTCCACCAGCAACACCAATTGGCCCCTCGCCGCCTCATCCTCCTCCTCCCACCAAAACCCCCAAATCAGCAGCTCAAAACCTATCGAATCTGCCCTACCAAACAAATCCATCTCTGGAGAAATTGAATCTGAAATCGAGGAGGATTTCAAGGACCCACCAGAAAATCTAGAAGCCATTGTCGCCCCGTCGGAAGATGGCGGAGACAGGGATGAAATCAGGCCAGCCGACGACTCTCATTTCCAAAACCCGCGAAATCCGGTCGGAATAAACGCGAATATCAGTGAAATCGTGGAAGAAAAGCCAGAAAGCTCGAGCAATCCAAAACCCATGAACCACCGCATAGATCTCCTCACCCATCCCCAGGCAAAGAAGACTTCCGGCGTCGGAGGTTTCTGGGGCGCCGCCTCCGTCTTCAGCAACAAATGGCGCAAATGGCGGCACAAGCAGAAGGTCAAGAAGCAGAACACCGGCAAACACCTAGCCCGATTCCGTGCTGAAAAACCCATTGCCCGTCACTACCGAGACACCCAATCTGAAATCGCTGACTACGGATTCGGCAGGAGATCCATCGACGTTGACCCTCGATTCTCACTCGACGTCCCTCGAATCAGCTTCGACGATCCACGATACTCGTTCGACGAGCCTCGAGCGTCCTGGGACGGCTACGTGACCGGCAGAAACTTTCCGAAAATACCCCCAATGGTCTCCGTTCTTGAAAACGGGCCTTCCACCCGAGTCCCACGGGCCGATATGCAGATCCCTCTGGACCCTCCGAGTTTCTTCTCCGGCGAAAACGTGCCGGGTGGCTCTGCACAGACCAGAGATTACTACTTAGATTCGTCTTCTAGAAGGAGAAAGTCTCTCGACCGGTCGAGCTCGATCAGAAAAACCGCAGCTGCTGTTGTGGCCGAAATAGACGAGCTGAAAATGGCTTCTTCTTCTAATGCTAAGGTCCTTCCCACGAATTTGGTTGGCGATTCGTATCCAAATTCTTTAAGAGACGATGCCTCTGAAACTTTCGAGCTGAGCAGTGGGTTCAGGGACGGTATTTTGGGGAATGCCGAGAAAAAAGAATCGAAAAAGTCGAAGAAATGGGGTTGGAAGATATGGGGTTTCTTGCATAAAAAGGGTCGAAAGGAAGAAGATGAAGATGATAAATACAGCAAGTACAGTAGCGCGAATGGAGTCGATCGATCGTGGTCTCAGTCGTGGCAAGAATTGAGGCGGGAAGGGAATTATAATAACGGGCTTAGTCGAAATGTGGCGAGAAGCAATAGTAGCGTGAGCTGGAGGCACGCAGGCCCGTTCGGGCCCCCTTTTGTGAACGGGAGGAGATCGAGTGTGGATGCGTATGGGAATAATAATAACGGGCGGAGGAGCGATTTTACGGTTGATAAAAACAGGAATAACACAAGGTATTCACCGAGCCATTTGGATAACGGGCTTTTGAGATTTTACTTGACGCCCACACGGGCCAACCGGAGAGGAGGGACGGGTAAAGTGAAGCCCTCTAACCCACATTCGGTCGGGAGGAGTGTGATGAGGCTGTATTGAGGATTTTCGCCCGAGGCCCGGCTAGTCTTTTTGTTCGATCTTTTTTTACAGTTAAGTTCCTTTTACTCCTTTCTTTTTGTTCTCTTTTTTACCTTCTTTGGAGCATTTTATGGTGTACTTAGGTTGAAGGACAAACTTTGTTGTTTCTCAATACATTTTGAATCTTTGATCAAAATATATACTTTTTCCTTTTTTGGTTCAATAATGAGTGGATTTGAATGTTTCTTTTGTCTCTAGTTTATACTTGGCCATGCTTGCATATAATCTTTTTACTGTATTTTGAATGATTTCATAGCATTCTCTTTGTGAGGGTGAGGCCTTTGTTTTCTAGAATGCAATGTGTGGTGCAATTGAGCTAAGTAGGTTAGTTTGAGAGAATTGGGAATGGCAAAAATTTTGGGGCAAAAAAAGAAAACTAAAAGAGGATTAATGATTGTGTCTTTTTTTTTTTTCAACTGAGTTGAAAATGTTGAGGACTCACTGAGTTGATTGCTCCACAAATGGCTGCAATCAAAGTTGTTTTACTTCTTTCATAGTCATGATAAGAATCAATAAGGGACATTATATGTCATCACGTTTTCTCCAACTTTCTGCATCGGGTTCCTTTTTATCTGTTTTGATTTGTTCAAAGGCGAAATTTTCGGATTGAAACGTAGATAAAAGTAAAAAATCGGTTTTTTTACTGTTTGAAATAGATGAGTCTGACAGGGAAAATCGGTTTTTTTACTGTTTGATCAAAGTAAAAAATTTCGATAATTGTAATATAGTCACGGTTAGAATTGAACGAGACATGTTCACAAATGGCTTGAACGGGTTAATTTCACCTAGGCATGTAAACGAGCCCTTAGCGAATCGAGTCGAGCTCGAACTCTTAACGAATCGAGTTGAATTCGGCTTGTTAAATAAACGAGCCTAAAATCAAGTTCGAGCTCAACTTGTTTATCAGTAATAATGAGCTGAATTCGAGCCTTAATGAGCTTTAACAGTTTGAATTATAGAAAATTATATAATTTTTTTTTTTTCGAGCCTTATTGAGCCGCGCTCGGCTCGTTAACCAAACGAGCCTTAAATGAGCTCGAGCTCGACTCGTTTATCGAACGAGTTGAGCTGAACTCAATCCTTAACGAGTCTAGCTCAAACCGAGCCGAGCTAGACTCGTTTAATTTAACAGCACTAATTTTCACCTTACCTTCTCACACCAAAATCTGAACCGTCGGATCAATACATATTGACACAGAAAGCGTGCATCCTTAATTTGACGGTTCAGATCTTGGTGTGGGCCACATTGATAGGGTCGAACTCTTCCACGAGTTAAGATTTCACATGTCATACATATGTATTTTTGACTCTCTTTCTAAAGAAAATAATGAAATTAATCTAGTAAAGTAGAAAAAGATAAACCTCACTTGGGCAGGTAAAACATTCGTGTTTGTGTTCATCAATTTTGTCAATGCCAAAGTTGTTGAAATGTGGAAAATTGAAAACAAAGTTCTGTTTTTTCAAACCCTTTTTAGTTTTGTGAACATTTTGCTAGTGATTATCAAGCAAACAAAGTGGACATTCCACCAAAAAAAAAAAGGGAAAAAGAATAAAGACAAATAATAATTTGGTCGAAAAATTTAAGCAGCCATAATTTTTAATGGAAAAAAATTCACTTAAAATACATTACATTTCTCTTGTGCTTATATATGTGTAAAAATAATAAATTTAGTTGAAAAAATATAGCTGAAAAGTTAATTTATACTAGCTTTTAAATTAATTTTGAGTTTATAGTTCATAGTTAATTACTGAAAAGTGAGTTGATATAATAGTAGTTTTAAATAAAATTAGTTTATAAGTTGGCTGAATATTTCAAAAGCTAAATAAAAAAGCTTATACCATAATCTCGATTTTTTTAGTCCTTCCCACCAAATTAAGCTTATTAATACAAAAAAAAAAAAAAA